CCCAAAGGAAGAAGTCACAAGGCGTTAGATCAGGTGATCTGGGGGGCCAAGTGAACAGAGCTATGTCATCCTCACCAACATGCCCAATCCAGCGATGCCGAAGTTCATTGTTTAGGTAGCGATGAACATTGCTGATACCACCGCAAAATGCTTTGTTTACATGGCGGTTCTTTTCCGTACTCTCTTTTGAATGCGCGTTGCACTGCTATAACGGACAAACATCTCGCATATTCCAACAAACAAAAACTCTTTTCTTGCTTTGTCGCCATTTTGTAAAGGCACTGAACTCGTGCTGCCAACTGGGGCATGTAATACAAACTTGGTGAGTTTACGGTTCTTTTTATATATCAATCATATCTGTATATGTAATACCTTGGAAAATATAGCATTTTAAAAACGAATGAATCATTTATACAAGCCCTGTATTAAGGTTACAAAATACCATTTCAAGTCACTTTTGATGGGGTTCATAAATGAGAACAATATATTTTAATGTGATAAATTAATTTATATCCTACTTTCACTCTTTAGAAAAATAAAAAGAGGCTAATGAAAACACCTTGCTGTCTGTGTCCTCCCCCCATTGCTATGCAATGGCTTGGTAAACATGTTGCCATGGCAATGAACACGTGCAACAATAGAATAACTATTTGATGCAGTGTTTTCTATGCAGTCCTTTTTGTATCAGATTTTCAATTTGTAGTGAAAGGAAAAAGCAGGTGATTACTTCTTCCCAGAACTGCTTGTTAGTTAGACAGTAGCAGTAAGTTTTGAAGACCTGATGATTACTATTACCTGTTTGTTTCTACACAGTGCCGCACTGGACGCTACAGCACTGGGCCTGTATTCTCTGGCTATCAGCACAGGAAGTATCCACTTGACAGGAGATATTATTCCCAGCCATTTGCACCATACACCAAGGTCTGCAGGATGGACTGGTAGTCCTGATACAAGAGCCAGACAGGTCACTATCAGGCCTGTAACTATGGCAGCTATATGTCTCCATTTGAACAGATACCCAAGGGCTGTTATTAACATCTGTAGAGCCAGCAGGTATACCAACATGAGGCCTGCAACAGAAGGCATGTTACTTTATTTAATATTGTGAGATGATTACGTTGCCTGTTGCGTGGTAATGGCTCTGTAAACGTTTCCATGGCAACAAGATGTGCATGCAACAATGGAAGAAGTGTTGGAAGTGGTGTATTGTATGCAGTCTGACCTGAGACTATACAGTGATCATGAATGAGGCAAATGATGTAAGCATGAGAGCAGAAGAATCTCCACTGATGGGAACCATAACCGAGCAATGACTAGTGAAGACTAACAGACTGAGTCTCAGCATGCGCTACAGTGATTTGTTCAGTGTGTATATTAGTACTAGTATTATAATTACCTCTAGTTACCAGTGTTCAATAAATCCAATTATCAATCCATGCCCTATGTCTAGTCACTAACACATAATGACCTAATTACTTTGAAAATCAGACACATTTTACACATTCTTTTCCCATTGAAAAATTGAGGTGTGTCTTGAATTCGGGGGCACCTTATATTTGAAGTATTGTGGTATTCTGAAGGATACTTGATATGACTGAATTTCTGGAAGTTATCCATCATCTAAGTGCAATTCTACCTCACATGTCACAAATTCCTCCTGTTGTCCTCTAACCCCCAGAAACATCAAGAGGATGTAACTACACAGCAACACCCTTTGCCTCAGTTAGCAATGTCTGCTAGTCTATACTGCTCTCTGCAATGTCTTCACTAGACATTTCCTGGTAACAAATCTTAGTGATGAAAATTATTCTACTTCGTTGCCCACTGGGTAACACTTCACAGCTGGAACCTCAACTCTCAACTCAAAACTCTGTTGCACTCTCTTGTACTCCTTGTATTCCTCTTTTACTCTTCATTTCTTCTGATTGTGCCCTCTGAGAATTATGGATCTCACAGAAAACACGGTCTCTCTCTTGTCAAGAATGCATGTTTACTGCCCTGTTACCTAGCAATGAATATATGCAGACCACATAGAAAAGACTTCTTGTGACCTTGTTCTATTGCTGTGTGTGTGCATATTTCAGGAATTGCCTAGAAATGGGTCTACATGTCACAATATTTACACTAGGTTAAGGCTCTTTTAAAATGCAATCTGAATACACACAACTTTTGATAATGAGTGTGAAGCAGCCATTATAATTACCTGTAAAATAAATGTTAGGGTAGTGGCACATAAACTGTAAATGAACTTTAACTATATAATTTTCTAACCCAATCAAGTGACACATTTATGTTACTACAGTCACTCCTCACTCATGGAGCTGAGCCCTTCCTGAGGAGAAGCCAAATCTGCAGCTACTCAAGAGCTTCCCAGCATTTTATGGAACCCAAAGGTTTATTACCATGTTCACAAGAGCCCTGTACTGGACTGGTCCCTATCCTGAGCCAGGTCAATCCAATCCATACTATCCCATTCTATCTCTCTAAGATCCATTTTAATATTGGCCACCCACCTATGTCTTGCTCTTTCCGGTGGTCTCCTTCCTTTCAGCTTTCCCACCAATATCCTATATGTATTCCCCCTCTCCCCATTCGTGCTACATGCCCTACCCATCACATCCTCCTTGCTCATTCTAATTATACTTGGAGAAGAGTACAAGTTATGAAGCTCCTCATTATTGCAGTTTTATCCACCCTCCTTTCAAACATAGGAAATAGCTGCCCTAATGGTATATGTGGATAGGATCTGTACTGTCTGTAGCTCTCACACCTAAGACATTAAACTGTTAGCACAGTTCTCATCTCATTACGTTCCTCTTACAGTCACAGTACTGTAGAGTGTAGAATTGTTACTATGCAACGGCCATGAGATAAGCAAATATACCAGAGTTGTTTCTAAGCACCGGCTCAGTAAACACGTTCCTGCAGCAACAGACATGAATATAACAATGGTGCAGCAACATAGGAATAGTGTTTTCTATTTATTCTATACCGAGATGTTACAACCAGGAAAATTTGGGGGAACGAATTATTTGCAAGAGTGCTCAGTTGAAAGTCAGGCTGTGAAGAGAAGACTTTACATGTGATGTCTGGAGAGTATAATTCAGTGAGACTGTTGTAGTTCCTGGGTTAAAATCCATTGCCAGGAAACGGCTAGTGGTGACTGTAATAGACTGGGGACACTAGTCTGTGTGTGTGAGTGATCTGTTAAATGTAGTGTCACAAGTCGTGAGTGTATAAGTGGCCAATAAATCAAGTCACCATCCAAATCCCATCTGTAGTCACTTGTACAAGTGACAATATCATAAACGGAGCTGAAGAAGTTAATCAATACCACCTTCTTTATTTCACTTTCTGATGAACTGCCAACTTCACAGGGACGTATTATTTTGAGTCAATGCCCTTCTGCCGCATTTAAATAACTTGTGGATATCACAATTGTGGAGTTGGTGACAGCAGAAACATGTTTGTGGGGACAAAAACTTAAACATACACTTCCCTAGTTGTATTCCGATGTAAGGGGAAGGGGAAATTGTGTTACAAGTAGGGGAAGATATTGCACAATGCCTCTGCTAACCGGAACTTAACTACCCATGCAACACAGTACACAATGAAACATGCTACTGGACTGAAGAGGTCATGTGACATAACATTTCTCAACTGTTAAAACTTGGAGTGGGAGAACTTTCTGTGTTATATTCTGGAATGTGAATTTTCTCCTAGGCAAGGATAGGGCAGAGAGGGTGGGTTAATGGGACTGTTGGCTGAAAATATCTTCAGAACCAAAACTTCAAGCAATGTGGGTGCAAAACATGATGGGTAACGGAAGTGGCTAGTTGGGAATGATTTATAACAAAAGTGCTGGAAAAACGCTCCTATTTTCTGAAATGATTTTCCATAATATTTGACATTAAAAAATTGACAGTTCAAATAGTTTTTGTTGCTGTTATGAAGCCCTCGTTATAAGCCACACCCATTCAATTGCGATTTTGCTGTACACTGCATATATAAATATTAAAAGTATTTGCTTTTTTCATACTGTTAACGATTTTATGGAGTGTGACTATAGACAGATTTTGGATTAATGACCGGATTTATTGGATTCTCTGATACTCACAGTGAATGACTATACTTTACATTTCACTATTACACACACACTAGTGTCCACAGTCATGACTTCACTGCCATTGCTTAGTAGTGGCCTCCAATGGCAGACAGCCCCCTTCCTATAGGTTCTCGAACTGTCCCTAGCCTTGGCTACGAGTTTTTAACAGATCAAAATGAACAAATAACAGCAGTCCTCTGATTAACTCACAACTCACCAACCAACTGTTCACTGACTGACTTGTCCTGCTTATAACATCTCAGCACAGAACATATAGAAAACTCCATTCTTATGTTGCTGTTTACAGGCCACTGCCTAGTAATAGCCATTGTATAGCTGCTTATTCAATTGACCTAATCCTTCCAGCCACACTATGGCCACGGGGTCAACTCGGCCTCTAACAGAAATGAGTACCAGGAATCAATTAAATAATTTTCCTGGGGAGTAAAGTGCAGCCGGCACATAAGGCTGACAACCTTACCGCTGATTGTCAAGGTAATGTGGGACCCTCAACGTCTCACAACCCTATGGGTCTTCACAGCCTGCTACAGGGCTAGCTTTTCTTTTACTTTATAGCTGCTTATTTCATGGTCATTACCTAGCAATGGGTCCACATGCCATAATATTATATTTTCTCTTGGTTTCTGTCCTTCAGAATTGATCCTGAAGGAATCTGACAGTAGTATATTACACTTAGGATTACTGAGTTTGTGGACTTGTTCATCCTCTAGTATTCCAGACAGTTTCAGAACTGATCTACTTCCATCCTCAAAGTTGCTTCCATCAGAAACAGTTCATCTCAATCTCTGAACTGGACCTGTCTTCTTGGACTTGAGGTTCTCAGAGTAGTCAGCACAATAAGCATTAAAACTCTGGGATACGACACTTTATCATGTGGCAGAAGTTCGTTGATGTTTCAGAGGAATGTATTGCTTCCATCTTCAGGATCAAAGACTAAACGAAACAAGTAACCAGCAAGAAACAGGCAAGTAGATCTCTTCTCACTGAGTGTTTGTTACTGGTTATTTTACTTTGCTTAGTCATTCTTGAACTTATACTGGACTACATGGCATCACATTCCAGAAGATGGTATTCCTCATGGACCAGCTTTGCTTGGAATACCAGACAACGGACAGTCGGCAACCTAAAAATCCTAAGAGTAATATATCATTAGACTTGAATGACAAGAGATTTACTTACCAACATACGTATAGAATGATGTCGCATCATTTCCTTGCATATGCAGGCCTGTCATGGAGTAAGCCGGAACCAAATATGCGAGCCAAACACACACAGAAGCCGGCAAGTTGTACAAGACCTGTAAGAAGATAAACTTGATCTGGTAACAATTTTTTAAGCTTACATAACTCACCTGATTTACTAGTAAGTCATTTTGTTTCTGGCATCATATCTGGAAGACACTCCTCCCATCTGGTTGGAACTCCTTCCTCAGATTTTAAATAAACTTCTGATAAGTATATGGTTATGGATTCATGTACTCCAACATGTGTTTTACATGTAAATATAATGGCTATATCACAACTATGGCTTATGTACATAATGTTAAAAACTTGCGAGTATTGCAGTTGTGGCATTTAGAACAACCTGTAACATAGTGTACATATACAGGATGTGGCACAGAAACTTCCTTTCTTTGAAGGCGAATAAGAGAAAAATTATTGTTGATAGACAAAATTTATGTTTAGTTAATGAAAGAACATACTTTAAAGTTTTAAATCATGTAGTTTTAAACAAAATATCTTGAAGGTGGTGGCCACCATTCTCTATGCACTGATGCAACCGTTTTCTGAAGTTCCCCTCTCCACGTTCCAATATGTGCACTGGAATTTGGGCTACTTCCTGCTGAATAACATTCTTCAGCTGAAGCAGGTTTGTGGGGCGATGTTTAAAAACCTCTGCCTTGAGGTATCCCCATAAAAAAAAAACCACAGGACGTTAGATCAGGTGAGTGCACTGCGCACGGGATGTCACCTCAAAGCGAGATGAGCCTTCTGGGGAACTTTGCCCTCACAACTGTCATCGAAGCTCGGGCTGTGTGGACCGTGGCACCATCCTGTTGGAACCAGACATTTCCCAGATGCATTTCTTCAAGAGGTGGTTTGACAAAGTTTTTAATTATGTTCACATACTGCTGTGAATTGACAGTAACTGCATGATTGTCTTCTTCAAAAAAATAAGGGCCAATAACTCCAACTCTCAACAATGCACACCATACTGTCACCTTATCACTGTGAAGTGGCCTCTCACGGAGCTCTCTGGGATTGTTACCACTCCAATAGCGCATATTCTGCTTGTTGACATATCTGGATAGGTGAAAATGTGCCTCTTCACTAAACAAAACAAGTGCGTCAGGGGGTAAAGTTTCCAATAACGTTTCACACACTGTTATTCGGTTCTGGAAATCATGTGGTGACAATTCTTGCACAACAACCATCTTATAGGGATGGAAATGAAGATGTTCATGAAGAATTCAGCGCATTGAACAATTGGATATGTCTAGGGCAACTGCATGTTTGTGAGCGGAGCATCTTGGAGATCTCAAATTTGACTGTCGAACTGCCTCCACATTTTCTGGTGTTGTTAACAGTCCGTTGTTGTCCTGATAATTTTTTTCACCACACTCCCGGTTGTCCTAAAGTTCTCTACCCACAAAACAATCGATTTCTGTTCGGGAACCAGATCTCTGGGCTTAATTCCACAGTGAGTATGGAACGCATGCTGCACCGCCATGTAGGAATGGTTGCTTGAAAAATAGGCTTCGACAGCAAACACACGCTGCTCACTCATCTACCTCATGTTTCCTACTGAGGGGTATTAGAGAGAAACTTCTGCGACTTCTGCATTCGCCGAGCCTATCCCCAATTTCTGTGACCTCCCCTCCCTTCACAAAGCATCTTCACAAAAAGGAAGTTTCTGCGCCCCACCCTGTACAAGTATGGGCGCAATTTGAACTACTACATGTGTTATGTCTGTTAAACAAGTCTGACACAGATGGATGTACTCATTCCCAAATGTGTGCACACGTAGCAGAATACGAGTGGAATGTGGGAGGGGTTTGTGACCAGGATACGAGTGATCCATGCTTGTGGCTATGCAGAACTTCAGCTCATAAATTATGGCTTCTAATTAACAGTCTGTTGGAAGAAGAAGAGCCTATGTACTTTTGACACAATCTTTTTAACTCTTCAATTCAGTTAATGCTAAGAACAATGAGAATACTTATTTGTTCTTCATTATTTTCATATCCCTGTGATAATCTATTCAAAGAAGATGAAAAATTGCTGCAACTGTATTATTGTGTAAACCTTGATGATATATTCTATAATACAGAGTGATTCTAAATTACCATCGGGGTGTCTGTGACTTATAATATTCAAACTGAAATAAGAAAATAAAACTGCTTATAGAATATGAAAGTGTAACTCATCAAGTTTTATCATATACAGAATCAATATTGCAGAATGATAAACTTCAACATGTGCGCTTTTCATGGCACATAAGATTTCCAAGATTTCCAATTTCCCTCCAAGTGTTCTCCAGCATTTGTAGTGCAACTGTTTCGATCACAATGAATTACTTTAACCAACATTGGATAGCATTAACTGAAGGTGGATCTTTTCCATGTCAAGTCCAATAATGAGACTGCATTTTGATAACGGACTTTGTTTCGAAAAATCAAAGTATGCACATTGCTTTCTCTTGAACAGCTGCCATTTTGAGATATGACATCATATTTCCTCCCAGGCATTAATGTGGCAAGTACAGCATTGCAAAATAAAACTTTTTGAGTTGCATTTTTGTATTCCATAAGCAGTTTTATTTTGTTATTTCTGGTTTGAAAATTGTAGGCCACGGAAACCCCGACACTAATTTAGAATCACTTGGCATATAAGCAAAGGTTTGGGGACAACGTGTGGTTATACATTTCAACAAGTGAAGCATCTGATACAATAAGCATTGTTAAGGTATTATAAATTCTCATAATATCAAGGTTTCACTGTGTGAAATTTTATGGGCTGTGCTATCTTTATTGGTGGCCAATATCTATAACATTACATTCATACACACAAGAACCTTCTTTGATATTTTTTGCATGCAGTTAGGGTTTGACCATAGGACCAATTTGGAGACCATTTAGTCTCTTACTTGCCATACATGGCACACGATCAGTTGAAAATAAAATGCCTGGTAAAAGGTTATGATATCCTTGCAACAGGATGTGGAGGCCCATAAGGTTATGAGATGTCAAGGCTATCACATTTTCTAGACAATTGGCTCATAGATGGTGGTGAGGTTGTCAGCCTTACATGCCGGCCACCCTTTACCCCCCAGGAAGATTCCTAGTACTCATTTCTGTTAGCCTTTACAAAAAAATACTGAAGTAATGGAAAATGATTGCTATGGGAAGCTCTAAAATTTCAGCTGTATTATCAAGAACAGGCCAACCACTAATGGACTCCTGGGTCTATCCTCTGTATGTCAAGCTTTAAACCAAAACATGATGGAGCTGACATGCTCAATGCAGCAAATATGAAAACCATCATCTTCTTGAAGGTGATGCCATGTAATATGATAGAAGTTCAGTGATTTCTTGTAGGAACATATGGCATTCATCACTGGGATCAAAGAGGAAGCCAAGCAAGCAGCCAACAAGATGCAAGTGTGCCCACTGTGCATATGCATGCACACACCTAAACATCTATAAGTGGTTCTTTCTCAGACATAAACACAGCAATAGCTTCAGACTTTTATCGCTTATTGATATGATGCCTATAATACAAGCAAAAAATGTTAAAAAAACTTCATGAAAGTAAATGCACAGTGACCTGTTACAAGCATCTAGTAAAAGTACAGATGTCTGTCCAATGATATGGAAAGGATTAACAGTCTTCTATAAATAATCTACTAATCTAGAGGATTTACCATCATACAGAGTGTCCCAGAAGAAAAGGGGAGGTCATAGTACCAGTCATTCTAAACAAAGAAGTATAGATATACATGTGTCTCATTCCAGAAGGTTTCTGAGATAGAGCTATTTCACTCTACAGTTTCAAAACTGTTAATACAAAGGAGACATTAATTAAAGATAAAGTTGTTCCTGTGCTTAACTACTTAAGCACTGAGCCACCAAGGTGTATGGGGGTGGATACATAGATCCACATTTTTCTGACCTCAGCAATAATTGGAGGTGAGTGGTCAGCTTCACACAGCTGCCACTTTACCCCTGGGGAAAGACACCCCCGGTACCCATTGGATAGGAGGCTTAGTGGGCCTCAGAGCCAGTCTGAACGATGTGGAGAAGAGAAAAATCTTGACCCTACTGGGACTCGAACTCTAACAACTTGGTTGTCCAGCCCGTAGCCAGCTGCTATACTGATTGAGCTATCACAGCTCCCAAAGAGATATTATATATTGTTTCTAATACCAGTATTTACTGTTCAAGTGATGAAGTTGATAAGAATTAACCCAGTATAATACTTAACGTCCATGTATTTATCGTCCATCAATATTGCAACATTTGTTTATTCACTACTTAATTTTAATTCTAGTTTAATATTATACACTTTGACACTACATGGTTCGGCCTCAACCCGCCATCTTCAGGTGTGTTACAAATATTTTATTAAATTATGTTAATACTGCTACACTGTCTTAGTCCATGTTGAAATCACACGCTGTAGTTCTCTTTTCAAGGTAAAACCAGATAAAATCCTTTAAATTTTCTATTATACCCACGTTACTTTGGTCCATATTATTTCACCTCACATGGGGTGTCATCCATTGTTCATAAATGTATGTCTGTCCAGGGTGTTTTTTTCGGCAGCTTGCCCCTCCCGTTCGTAGCCTGCTTTTCAGTCATGACTGCCCTGTGCCCCTGGTTTGCGTGTTTCCTCCAGTGTGTGGTGTTGGCCAGACATACATTTATGAACAATGGACGACACCCCGTGTGAGGTGAAATAAAATTCACCAAAATAACGTGGGTATAATAGAAACTTTAAAGGATTTTATCTGGTTTTACCTTGAAAAGAGAACTACAGCGTGTGATTATAACATAGACTAAGACAGTGTAGTAGCTTTAACAAAATTTAATAAAATATTTGTAACATATCAAGACACCTGAAGATGGCCGGTTGGGGCCAAAACATGTAGTGTCAAAGGGTATAATGTTAAACTAGAATTAAAATCAAGTAGTGAAAAAAGAACTGTTGCAATATTGTCAGACGATAAATACATGAACCTTAAGTTAAACAATTGCAACAGGATGCTGAAATACAGCTCTAGTATAATACATTTTCTAAAATTCCACTGTCAACATCAATGCACTTTGCAACTCATGTGAGGACATGGCATGTTGCTTGTCTGTACAGTGTACTGTACGGTGAAATAGCTCTATTTCGGAAACCATTCAGAACAAGACACATACACTTCTTTCCTTACAATGACTGATATGGCCTCCCAGAATACTGACCTTTCCTCCTGCAACATCCTGTATATCTTTTACAATACTGCTATAAAATACATTACCTTTGTGAATATGTAGACAATTCTATAGTACAATCGGTCCCTAATATCCCGATGCACTGACCACCTCTCTCTGCCAACTTCTCCCAGTGCCAGTAACAAAATAGGCCATGGGGCTAATGTAGCCATTACATAATGGAAGCCTGGTCGATCACCATATATCAGCTGGGGATCAGAGCCAGGAACATCCCACCAGATAGCACCAATAATGAGTGACATGAGAGCGGCTAACAGCAGTTGATTCAGCCAGCGGACTAAGCTAATAGGTTGTGATAATATTAACGCTCGCCTAAAAATCAGAAAGAATTCCTACTGTGATTTTGGTATAATAGTGACATGCATACCAACTTATCAAACTATACACACACATTCAAGTTTACCTTGGCTAAAACATCTAAGTGTAAACATGTAACAGAATATAACAGACATATCAAAACTTCAGGTATAGACCAGACTGTATTAGATCAACATTCCAAATATAAATTATCCTGTTCTTCCAACATCATTTAAATTACATCCTTGACTTGATCATTCTAATTATACTTGGTGAAGAGTACAAGTTATGAAGATCCTCTTTATGTAGTTTTCTCCAACGTCCTGTCACTTCATCTCTCTTCAGTCCAAATTTTCTCCTCAACACCCTGTTTTCTAACACCCTCAGTCTATGTTCCTGCTTTAATGTCAGAGACCAAGTTACACACCCATACAGAACCACAGGAAAAATGGTTTTGTATGTTCTAATTTTTATATTTTTAGACAGCAGATGAGAAGACAAAGTTTCTGGACTGAACAGTAAGTACAGTAAGTACATGAAGAGGAAAACTGGGATATGTACTTTGTCACTGAGAGACCATAATCTAGACATTGGAACTGGGGTTTCTACTAATGGAAAAGCAGAGAAGCAAGAAACCAGGATCTGATGATCCACAAGTAAGTCCACTGCATGGTGACACTGTCTTACAGAGGGAAAGATCCAGCATCAAGATCATCAGAGTTCGGCTAGAAAGAAATATGGTGGGGTTAAGTATAGTTGTAAATATGGAGATCAGGATTTAAAATGAGGGAATGAAGCACTGCTGATGATGAAAATGAACACTATCTCAGAGTCTTTGACCCAGAAGAGGGAAGTGACATGTTCCTCTGAAATGTCAGTTGACTTTCAACAGTTATGTGGCGTCACATCCAAGAAGATAGTATTCTTCTTAGCTTTGTTGTTTTCTCTATTCCCACTACTGCAATTACCATAATCAACAAAGAGGGAATGAAAAGAGACTGCACACAGTTTGGGCATAAAAATCTTTGGAATGTTTTGTGTGTACACAACTTTACTTACATAATTAGAATAAAGCACTGTGTGAGGAAGTTTGCTTGTCTCAACTTTGGCGGCAATGCTATAGGTGGTCCAGGTTCTGTGAGAGGCTCCTGTGCTTGGCTGAATGTTTCGGCAAGTTGCCCTATTCTCTGACTTGACTCCAGCATTGCTTCAGCAGAAAGATCGTCCAGTGTGACAAGATCCACTGCCAAACAGAACCAAAGCAATGGACTTCAAACAGCAAAACATGAGAACGGTATGAAATTATACATAGCACCTCTTAGCAGCCACACACAGATTTCATGTTGTCACAGTTTCTGAAGGAGCCAGGATAGTACAGTCAGTATAGTAACTGGCTATGGACTGGATGACCAAGAGGTCCGAGTTTGAGTCCTGGCAGGGTCAAGATTTTTTCCTCGTCATGCCGTACTGACTGCCTCTGGGGCCAAACTACCCTCCTACCCGTTGGGTGCTGGGCACTCTTTCTCCTGGGGCAAAGCAGTCTTGGTGTGAAGCCGATCACTCACCTTCATGTGCCAAGGTCAAGAAAAAATGGATCTATACATCTGCTCCCCACATACGACTTCATGGTACAGTGTTTAATTAGTCAAGCAGAGGAGCAACTTTACTTTTTCTTTATTTACCTTTACCACATTATCTTAAGTGTTAGTGACAAATAGTTTCTTTTATTTTCAGACTGAAAATTCAAGAAGTTCAAGCTGTTCCAACACTTAACTAAGTACTGTACAATGAAAACTAATAGGGGCAGTAGATGGAGATGTGTGGTCAGCTTAACATTCTGGCTGCTTTGTCCCTAGGGTAAATGGCCCCAGTACCCATTGGAGAGCAGGCTGAGTGGGACCCAGAACTAGTGTGGATGGTGTGGAGAAAAGAAAAATCTCTTGTCTCTACCAGGAATCGGACCCCAACAACTTCACTGCCCAGCATGTAGCCTAGTAACACTATCAACTGAACTACCCCAGTTCCAAGATTCATGGTAGCAATTTCATTGAAGCCAGGAAGAGGAACAACACAAAAACCAACGTCCACACAATGACGCATATACAGCACATTATAAAGAGATAAACCTCAAACATGACATCACATTCAAGAAGGCATGACAAACACAATGACGCATATACAGCACATTATAAAGAGATAAACCTCAAACATGACATCACATTCAAGAAGGCATGACAAAACATACACGTATATAAGAAACTGATAATATTAAATGTGAACAGTACCAAAAACATATAAAAACATAATAGTGGACCCCAGAAGACACCACCTACAATATGCAACAAAGAACACAGAATTTTACATTGTAACAAGAGAAATTTTAAAAAATTTAAAATTATTTTTACAATTTCAGCAATAATTATTTAGGCTGTTCAAAAATTATTGACACTCCCTCCATAACTCCGGAAAAGTAGCAGTGCCAAATGCAAGCCCGTGTATGTGGGAAGACATACTATAGTGTCACCTATGGCCACAAGATGATGTTGCTACTGCGCACAGGTCAAACAGTGCTGCATCATTTGTGGCGGTGTGCAGGTGCAGTCGTGGACAACGCTCAGACAACATGGAAACAGACAATCACGGGCAACAGTGGACTGCACGGATCATGCGGAGTTCTTTGAGTGTCTAGTCACCGTCGATGAGTTATGGTTCTTGCATGAGACTCCAGAAAAGAAACGCCAGTCCATGGAGTGGAAGCACGCTGGGAGCCCTCCTCCCAAGCAGTCATGACTGGGACTATTCGTCTGGAAGCAAATTGTGACTGTGTTCTGGGATCAGGAGGGGATCCTTCTGTTGGATTGGCTGCCCCCCAATATGATAATCGACAGTAACTGGTACTGCAATTCACTATGCCAACTCCGACACATTCAGCAACACTGCCACGGAAAATTGGGGCGCGGCGTTCTTCACATGGCAGTCAGCAGACCATTGCCACCCCGGGTGCTCTAGGGTACACCGTGCTGCCTCATTCGCCATACTTGCCCAATCTTGCCCTAGTGACTACGCTCTATTCGATGCAATGAAAGACGTCATGAGGGGTAAGACGTTCACCTCCAACGACGAGCTTCAGGCAGTTGTCCAGCAGTGGCACCAGAGTACCCCCAAAGAATGGTTTGCTGTGCAAATACAGAAACTGCTGGAGCGATGGCAAAGGTGCATAACCATTGACAGGCAATACCTCTAATATAATCTATATGTATTTTGTTCCAATACGTGGTTAATGTGAAGAAAAAACACTTAGTGTCAATCATTTTTGAACGCCCCTAGTACATGTATTATGATGAGTATAATGATTAGCACTACTATGGGTCCATATATTTCAATAACATGAGATGTATTTAATGAAACTGCCTAAGGACGGTCCAAGATATGGACTGAAACATGTATCAGTTATTAAATAAAACCAATGTAAGTAATCAGATTGGTTTATTTTGAAATATTTGTTGTGTTGACGGCCAGAGTATCACAAAACAATTTCATTATTAAGAGGTAATTAATCAATTTTGCTTTTTTAACTGCTGAACTTTTCTTCAGAACAAGTACTCCTTAAATATAGCTCGAAGACCATACTGTCAAAAACAACCTCTAAAACACAGAACCCGTTGCATTTCTGTTATGAACAGATCAAAAGTTCTTTTAAAATGGTGTACTCACTACAGTAGTTATTGGTGTCAAATTATAAGAGGGGAAAGTTGCATCTGCTGAATTTAATTGGCTCAGACCATTTTTGCTAACTGATTTGTTCAGCCCATAATTCTGTATTAATGACTGTAAGCCCATTTCATTTTAATGTCATGCATTCATTGCTGACATACTCTCCAAGTGTGTCTGTTACTTGTTAAATTATTTGATTAAAACTGTTCTGTTATTCTGCATTTTTCTTTGTCTTGTAGTCAACAAGATTTGGTGGAAGATATATAATCTTTATAGGTTTGTATTTAGACATCCAGTCCAAAGAGACAGCACTGAAACCTACAGTTGAATCAGGACAATAATGTGGCCCATCTGCTGAGTAATATCTTCTCAAATGGTGCTCAGTTTGGCAACAATCCCTCCAGGAAAATGCTGGGATAGCCAACTAACTAACTAAGTCCATAGAGCTGAGTCCTTCTTAAGAAGCCACCAGTTGCTCAGTCACTCAAGGATTTCCCCAAATTTATGACACCCAGACTTTCATTACTGTGTTCACAAGAGCCTTTCACTCGTCCCTATCCTGACCCAGGGCAGTCCAGTCCATACCACTCCATCCTATCTCTCTATGATACATTTTAATATTATCCTCCCTCCTATGTGTAGGTATTCCTGGTTGTCTCTTTCCTTCTGACTTTTCCACCAGCAACTGTTAAAAGTGAACCTGCCTATACAGACTCCTTACATCCCATGTACCAAATCTCATGTCATTTTCCTTAGCTTAGTTCATTTATCCAAAAAATCTGTCCAAGGTCCTGTGTAACATTTTGTAACAAAATTACTTTTTTACAGCTAGGAGCTGTTAGCCACATCCAACTCCAAAGTTGGACGAACACCTCCTGTTGGCTGTCCATGATTGCTTATTCAATATATTTGAAGCTACCCTCCATATCTGGAGGCCATCTCCTCCAACCACAACCTGAGGATGCACCATGCTGTGGTGACAAGGTAGATACTTAAGGAGCGAAAATGCTGGGACAGTGCCTCAAATTAAGAGTATGATCAATTCCTTCCACATCCTTTCCAATTCATTATTCAATAACCACACCATCATTCAAAGCTTCTGTAATCTGAGCTACTGACAGCATTGCTACAGAAACCACGAAGTAAACTAAATTACTGTTCTACTTTCTGGCTAAGCCAATATGAATAGCATGGACTTATAACATCATTTCAAACTAGACTCATATACTCACAATAGTAATCAGATGGATTCTTGTATGCTGGGCAAGGATAGTCCACCATGGCAAAGTATGGCAGCATGTCACGTCTGCGGCCACTAAACATCAGTCGACCTGCAGAGATCAGTGCCACACGTGACAGCATCGTGAAGATCTCATATGTCGGTGGATGGAGAGTCAAGATCACTATTCTCCCTCCACTGATGCCTGCAACACAATGCATCACGACACTTCATGAATTCATATACTGAGATTTAGTAATTCAGCACCTTCTGCTGGGATAGCGTAGTCAGTATAGTGACTGGCTACAGGCTGGATGACCACGGGGTAGGAGCTTGAGTCCCGGTAGGGTCAACAATTTTCTCTGCTCCACATCGTCCAGACTGCCACTGGGGCCCACCCAGCCTCCTGTTCAATGGGTATCGGGGGCATTTTCCCCAGGGGTAAAGTGACAGGGGCGTGAAGGGTGGATCTATACATCCATTCCTCCATATGCCTTCAAGGCATAGTGCTTAATTAGTTAAGCACAGTGACAACTTTACCTTTTTTTTTATACCTTTACCTAACAGACTACATAGCACCACACCCAAGGTGATGGTAATCTTTTGTAATAACTTCCTTCACTATCATTTCACATAAATGAAATCCATCAACCAGCAAAGCAACCTACATTGTAAACCCACAAACAATGTAGAAGTGAATTTACCACTTGGTGTAATAGCAGCTGGACCATTACTTCCTGCAGTAGCAGCCCACTGACGGAGAAACTCAACTAGGAAGAACGTATCAAATATATCCATCCCTCTGGTAGGCTGATCCAAGACTACAATATCAGTATCAAGTAGCAGGTGACACGCTACATTCAAGCGACGTTTCTCAGATGTTGTCAGTCCAGAGACTTTCGTGTGGCGAACCTGATCTAACCCCAGATCTTCAATTAAAGCATCAATCTGTCAACAGAAAGTTAATTTCAAAATGTATTTTATTTTGCTATTCTGTGGTCATAACCTGCTCTTGTCCTTACAATTTGTTTTGAAGTGTCAATCGTATCAGCAGCTTCTTGAAGGTATTCATGTGACATGCAACATTAACCTAATTAGAAAATTATCTACACAGCCAACAGGGAGGTTCCTCTCTTATATATATATGCTATTTAGTTTAAAGTGGTAGTGTATCCCTTGCAGTGACAATCATTAGTCTACTGTGCATCCATATCCTCAGATTTAGCACTTCAGTAGTTCTGTACCCTGAATGAAGTGCAGTTACTTTGTTTAATGTCGCTTTATTTCATAAAGTGAGTTCCCACATATGATCTATAAGTTTGTGATGATGGTACATTACTACAAATAATATATTTCTGGACATATCCATTGTCCTGTTTTATGTAAAACATTGTCCTCTTTATATTTAAAAAATAACGTTTTGGAGACTGGATTCTGTCTCCATCTTTAGGTGAAACCTACTCAGTTGGGCACAATTGATACAGCTAGTCCCTGCTAGTACCAGCACCAAGATAGGGTATACAAGCTTGGTGCTGGTACAGGTGTCTGGAGACAGGGACTAGCTCTATCAATTGGGCCCAACTGAGTAGGTTTTACCTGAAGATGGAGACAGAATCCAATCTCCAAAACCTTGTTTTAAATATAAACAGGACAGTTGTTTAGATAAAAACAGGACAATGGATAATGTTCAGAAACATAATATTTGTATGAATTACCACATGATCAAATGTGATCAGTCATGACTTCACTGCCACATGAGGCATGTATGGCTGCTTGTTCTTTGCTATGACACGTTACACAGATGGGACTATTTACTAGTCTTAGTTTGAATGGGCATTGCTTCACGTGACAGCACCATACTCATAATCCTGCTGCTTGTTTCAATTGGTCTCTATTCAGTTGCAATAATTTCCACATGAAGAATACTCTTTTCTGTTCTGTGACACCATGCTGTCCATTAGAAGTTTACCAACATTATGGAAGAAAACTGTGCCTCCATTTATAGGACTGAAGAATAAGTCAAGCTAGCAAACAAAACACAAACAATCATGCAGAAAGTGTTTGACCCTTGCCTTTCTTGTTTGCTCAGCTTATTCTTTAACCCTGAAGATAGTGGCAGTACATTTCTCTCAAATGGTAAACTTCTACCAGAACAGAAGAGTCCTATCTTCTGGGATATAACACTATGTAGTCAACTGAAGTTTCAGAGGATCATATTGCCCCCATCTTCAGGGTTGAAAAGTAAGCCATGAAAGAAACCTGAATGAAGCAAGCAAAAAGCGGACTAGATCAGATCACATCCAAGAATACAATATACTTCATAATGGCCACAACAACTACAGTTTGCATCAGTTTTCTTGAGTCCTGCATTCCCTAACTTCTCCGTGGAAAGGACCTTGGTAAATAACCGAGTATGGTGTGACAGATATCCACCTAACCTAAAACACTGACACTGAGCTACATATTTTTGCTCCATTCTCTCTACAAACTTTTACACATTGCTGAAGCATGTTTCTTCTGGACCTTAGAACAGAGTGACACATCTCCTCAGCAAGAGCTCATGAAAGCTGACAAGAAAGAGCACCTCCCAACTCCATCAGTATAATGATGGGCTATGAAATGGATGGCTGGTGTCTGATTCTTGGCAGGGACAAGATTTTTCTGCACTCCACAGCATTCACACTAGCTGTGAGTCCAGCCCAGTCTCCTATCCAATGGGTACTGTGGACTCTTTCCCCCACCTGCGGGGATGGAGCAGCAGGGGTATGAAGCTGACCACTCACCTCCATCTAGTGCTAAGGTCTAGAATAGCCGAGCTATACCTACACTCCCCTGTATGACTTCATGGAACAGTGCTTAATTAAGCACATGGACAACTTTACAATTTTTTATCTCAAATCTCACACAGTTCCTACTTTCTTTTGCTTTAAGCAAACGGATCCTGAAGAAAACTCATGTTGTTTTGTCAAGATGAGGATTGCCAGTATTCATGGTGTTCTCTGTTCATTCAGTCTCTGCAGGTGCACTTGGTAATGCTTTCTGAGGCGCTACAGGCCAGCTCAGGTCTTGTAAGTACACATTCAGAGCCCATTCCTGCTATATCCATGCTACAAACTCACCCTATCCTTAGTGTTGAGCTTGCTGTGGTGACCACTGGAATGACAGAGCCAGTGGTGAAGACTGAGGGCCTGTCTGACACTGAGGTCCGGAGACAAGCGACTGTCGCATTGTACATATGCCACTCTATCCCTTAGTTGACTGGGTGAAACAGACTGGCCATTGAGCAATATAACCCCACGGTGTTTACCGATGTTTGATGATCGGCCAGACAGTGTATCTAGGAGGCCTGTGCCTTCTTCTTCTGCAAGAAATTTTATTCATTCACATTTAGTTCAACTAACTCACTACTTCCATGTTAGGTGGCTTCCGTGTCACCACAGCATGGCGCGTCCTCAGGTTGTGGATGGAGGAGACACGCCCTCCAGGTGTGGAGGGAAGCTGCAAATATATTGAATAAGCAGTTGTGGACAGCCGACAAGCGGTGGTCCTCCAGCTTGGGGGTTGGGCGTGGGCCTAACAAACTCCTCACCATAACAAATAAACTTGTTACGAAAATTCTCAAGAAGCATTGAACCTGGACAGATTCCTTGAATAAACGACCTAAGCTAAAGAAAATGCATATGAGATTCAGAATGTGGAACGTTAGGAGTATGTATAGGGCAGGTTCGCTCAGGCAGAAGAAATCTGAAAATATAAGTTACAATTAGCAGGAGTACAGGAGGTCAGATGGGATGGAGGTGGCATTGCACCAGTAGAATATACATTTTTCTATGGAAAAGGGAATAAAAATCATGAATTATGTACAGGTTTTTTTGTACATAAGAGAATAGTATCAGCAGTTAAGAGGGTAGAGTTTATTAGTGATAGGATATCATATATAGTACTAAAAGGTTGCTGGTATGGTATCATTGTTACGAATGTTCACGCCCTAACAGAAGATAAAATTAATGACATAAAGAACAGGTTCTAAGAAGAACCAGAGCACATATTTGATAAATTCCCAAAGTAACCTATGAAAATTCTGTTAGGAGATTTAAATGCCAAAGTAGGAAGGGAAGACTTTACAAACCAATGGTTGGGAATGAGAGTTTGCATGAAATTAGTAATGACAATGGAGTTAGAGTAGTAAACTTTGTCACATCAAAAAATCTTACTGTCAAAAGTACAATGTTCCTGCATCGTAACATCCATAAATTTACTTGGACATCTCCTGATGGGAAGATACACAATCAAATAGGCCATATTATGATAGGAGATGGCATTCAAGTATACTTGATGTCTGATCATCCAGGGCAGCAGACTGTGATACTGACCACTACCTGGTGGTGGCAAAGGTTAGGGAAAGACTGGCAGTGAGCAAACAAACAACACACAGAGTTCATATGGAGAGGTTCATCTCAAGAAATTAAATGAGGTAGAGGGTAAAGAGCAGTATTGTGTCGATATCTCAAATAGGTTTGCGACTTTGGAAAACTTGGAAACTGAGGTGGACGATAATAAAGCTTGGAAAACTATTAGAGAGAATATAAAAATGTCTGCCAAAGAGAGTCTAGATTATTATGAACTGTAGAAGCATAAGCCATGGTTCGATGAAGGATGCTCAAAATAACTAGACCAAAGAAAACATACCAAATTTCAATGGTTACAGGATCGAAGTGAAATAAATAGTGATAATCTGAATAATATAAGACGCCAAAGAAAAAGTAGCAGTCATTTCAGGAATAAAAAGAGGGAACATCTGAAAGACAAATTTAATGAGCTTGCAATGAACAGTAAGAACAAGAACATTAAAGACCTGTATAGAGGAATAATGACTTTAAGAGGAGTTACCAACCTAGAGGTAACTCAGTGAAGGATGAGAATGGTGATCGACTTGCAGATTCCCCACAACATTTTGAATAGGTGGAAGAACTACTTCTTTCAGTTATTGAATGTACATAGAGTCAGTGATGTTAGGCAGATAAAAATGCACACAGCTGAACTGTTAATACCTAATCCCAGCCCTTTTGAGGTCGAAATTGCTATTGCAAATTGAAAAGGTATAAATCACCAGGTAGTGATCCAATTCTGGCAGAACTTGTTCAAGCAGGAGGCAAAATATTATGTTCTAAGATCCATAAGCTAATTACAGTAAAACTTGGTTATAGCAACATCGGTTTCTGCGACACCTTGTCTATTGCGTCAAATATTCAATGGTACGAACTAATTCCTCATAAAGCAACTGTTTTTATACCTTGCTTAGTACGACATGCACAAATGCATCAACCTCGTATGTAACGTCATTTTCATTCCTGAATTTCTCTGATATCGTGGGAAAGTTCGATGTGTCTGCCCACCCTCACTTTCTCTACTTGCTGACGTGACTGTCCTGGAAGAATACGACCGCAGGCTGCAAGAGGAACGTGGGTTTTATGCGAAAACAAGGGTGTGGGGTGGGACTGCAGGAATAGTGCAAGAGGACGCGGCAGGTTGTTAACTGCATTCCTTTCCTAGAATCTCGTCTAACAGGACCTCACATTGTCTACTTACCCTATAGTGTTCCTGCCTAAACCCAGAGAAGTGCAGGAGCGAAAACATGGCAATGAAAAGGAAAGTTTTAAGTATTGAAGAGAAAGTTAAAGTGATTCGTGAAATAGAAAATGGAAGGAAAAAAGCTGATGTATGCTGCGAATTTGGTTTGGTGAATTCTACAGTACAAACAATATGGAGAATCCATATTAATTCCATGTTAATGTTACGTTAATCTGTACTTAACTACGTATCTCACTAAAAAAAATGCAACATTTTAACTCGGATTTTGGTAGATTTTTACGTGACTAACATAAGGCTACTGTGGAAGTGCCCATTTCGGTTACAACGACATTCGTTTATAACAACACTATTTTTAGGTCCCTTTGATGACGTTATAACCAAGTTCTACTGTACTTCTATTTGGCATAAGGAGAAATTGCCTGATCAGAGGAAGGAGTCTATTATTGTACCAGTTCACAAGAAGGTTGACAAAACTGACTGTAGTAATTATCGGGGAATATCACTGCTATCAACTTCATACAAAATTTTATCCACTATTCTTCTCCGAAGGTTAAGTCCATATATAGATGAAATTATTGGGAATCATCAGCGTGGGTTTCGATGTAACAGATCAACTACAGATCAGATCATTCATCAGATACTGGAGAAAAAATGGGAGTACAATGAGACAGTATATCAGCTATTTGTAGACTTCAAGAAAGCCTATTATGTACAACATTCTGATAAGAGTTTAGGATACCCATGAAACTATTTAAACTGATTAAAATGTGTTTAAACAAAACTTATAGTAAAGTCCATATAGGAAAATATTTGTCTGATAAATTTCCTATCCAGAATGGTCTAAGACAAGGAGATGCTTTATCACCACTCCTTTTCAAATTTGCTTTAGAATATGCCAATAGGAAGGTCCAGGAAAACCAGGTGGGACTGAAATTAAATGAAACACATTAGCTTATGGTCTATGCCGATGAAGTGAATCTGCTTGGTGATAATATAGATACCATAAAGAAGAACACACAAACTTTAACTGAGGCAAGTAAGGAGGTTGGTCTAGAAGGAAACACAGAGAAAACTAAGTATATGTTGCTGTCTCATCACCAAAATGCAGGGCAAAATCATGACATAATAATGGGAAACAGATGTTTTGAAAATGTAGCACAGTTCAGATATGTGGGAATGACAATAACAAATCAAAACCTGATTCAGGAGGAAATTAAGAGGAGATTGAACTCAAGTAATGCTTGCTACCATTCAGTCCAGAACCTTTAGTCTTCTCGTCTGCTGTCCAAAAACATAAAAATTAGAATATACAAAACTATAATTTTGCCTGTGGTTCTGTATGGGTGTGAAACTTGGTCTCTGACATTAAGGGAGGAACATAGACTGAGGGGGTTTCAGAACAGGGTGTTGAGGAGAATATTTGGACCGAAGACGGATGAAATGACAGGAGGTTGGAGAAAACTGCATAATGAGGAGCTTCATAACTTGTACTCTTCTCCAAATATAATTAGAATGATAAGTCAAGGAGGATGAGGTGGGCAGGGCATGTAGCACAAATGAGGGAGAAGAGGAATGCATATGGGATACTGGTGGGAAAGCCAGAAGGAAAGAGACCACTGGGTAGACCAAGACATAGGTGGGTGAACAATATTAAGATGGATCTTAGAGTGGTAGGATGGGATGGTATGAATTAGATTGATCTGGCTCAGGATAGGGACCAGTGGAGGGCTCTTGTGAACACAGTAATGAACCTTCAGGTTCCATAAAATGCTGGGAAATTCTTGTTAACTGTAGATTTGGCTTCTCCTCAAGAAGGGCTCAGCTCCATTAGTAAGTAACTAACTACTTGGGGTGAGAATTTTGTGAAAATGACAGTTGCGGAGCCAGTAAAAAAATACCCAAATTTTATGGAATATGAAGGTTTGTTATCATGTCCACAAGTACGCCTACCTTGCCATTAGTCTTTATTGTGAGTAAGATGAATCCAGTTCACACCACATGTCTATTTCTCTAAGATACATTTTAATATTATCCTCCTTTTTACATCTAAGTTCCTTTCCTTCAGGCTTTCTTACCAAAACTTTATACGTATTTTCTCTCCTGTGTGTGACACATCCCCCATCATTTCATCCTCCTTAATCTGATCATCGTAATAATGTTTCACAAGGAGCACAAATTATGAAGCTCCTCATGATGAAATTTTCCCTAGTCTCTGGTTACTTTCTCTTAGGCCTAAATATTTTCCCCAGCGCCCTGTTTTCAAACACCCTCAGTCTATGTTCCTCTATGGTATAGGAGCCAAAGTTTGAAACCAATACAAAACATCAGACAAAATTATAGTTTTATATATTTCAGTCTGTATGTTCTTAGAAAGAAGGCAGGGACACAAAAGATTCTGACCTGAGTGATAGCAGAGACTCCTCAGTTTCAATCGGATCTTAATTTCTTCATGAATGAAATCTATATTTGTTAGTATTTCATATACAGTCCACTTCCTCAAAGACTTCGGTTCAGATGTAACAATTTACAGAAATTCTTTTAGGTTTCTTTGTGAGTATGCGTATCTTCATGACAGTACAATGCATGAAGGATACACAACAATCATCATGCATGGAGCACATGTACGAATCTTAAATTAAATATAATTTTATTATTTAAATTATGCTTCTAAGCAATGTTCAAACATACATATTCTCCTGTGTACGTTTCTGTGAACCTCACATATGCTAAAATATTTTCTCATTTGTGTAAACTTATGCAAAAAGCCTACAGGAATAGGCATGTCCCATCTTGGACTGCTTGAACATTGGTATCATGGGATCAAATCCCACTCAAGGAGTGACATGACAATATTTTTCTGCATTTCTGTTGTCTTGTGTATGTAGGGACCTTGCGATGGACAGATATCACATCCAGTGCACCCTATTTCATGTATTGACAGAGACAATTTCAAAAGTTAATTCTGAATTGGAATGAATTATGGGGCCTAATCAATTAAAGGTTAAATTTATTTACATTGTGGTGTTCTGCAATGTTATGCCACACAGTTCTGTTGGTAGGTACCAACATTTAATAGGAATCTCATGCCTCAGTTTTCAAGGTTGAATAAGGAGGTTGTAGGTTCCTCTGAAATGTGGTACCAAACCATATATTTGATTTGTTTCATTCTGGTCTGTCACACTAATATTATGAAAAAGCTAAATAAGCAACCTGAGGTCTCCATAAATAATTAAAACCTGAGACCTGTTCTGGAATTTGTTTGAAGATTGCCGTCTTCTGGGATGTGATGATGTATGGTTTGAAAAGGCTAAATAGTTCCATTCGGTGTGACTTGTTAAGATTTGCTTATTTCAATTATTCATGCCCTTACATGTTTCGGTCTTCAGAGACCATCTTCAGAGGGACACCTTTACATCAATACAGTTAGAAGCCACCATTACAGTACATGTTCCAAAAGTTAAAATATATACATACAATATAAATAATATACAATTGGCTGTAAAATCATAAAGTTTTTACATTTTTATTGGAAGCTTTTAACAAACTGACTATAAATATTTTAAAGTATTGGAACAGCCCCTGTAGTTGCAAAAACTTTAAATTTTACAGCTAATTTCATATTATTTTTATTGTATGTATATATTTTAACTTTTGGAACATGTACTGTAATGGTGGCTTCTAACTGTATTGATGTAAAGGTGTCCCTCTGAAGATGGTCTCTGAAGACCGAAACATGTAAGGGCGTGAATAATTGAAATAAGAAAATCTTAACAAGTCACACTGAATGGAACTATTTAGCCTTTTCAAACCATACATCATCACATCCCAGAAGACAGCAATCTTCAAACAAATTCCAGAACAGGTCTCAGGTTTTAATTATTTATGGAGACCATAGGTTGCTCAAAGTATACGTTGCTGTCTCATCACTAGAGTGCACAGCAAAATCATGACATGAAAACAGATAACAGATACTTCAAAATTGTGCCACAGTACAAATATTTGGTAACGATGGTAACAAACCAAAATTTGATTCAGAAGGAAATTAAGTGGAGACTGAATTCAGGGACTCCTTGCTACCATTCATTCCAAAACCTTCTGTCTCCTCATCTGCTGTCTAAAAACATAAAAATTAGAAGATACAAAATTATAAGTCTGCCCGTGTTTCTGTATATGCGTGAAACTTGGTCTCTGACTTTACAGAGTGTTTGAGAATAGGATGCCGAGGAGAATATTTGGACTGAAGGGAGATGACATGGTGGGAGGTTGAAGAAAACTGTATAATGAGGAGCTTCATAACTTGTACTCTTCACCAAGTATAATTAGAATGATCAAGTCAAGGAGGATGAGATGGGCAAAGCATGTAGCAAGAATGAGGGAGAAGAGGAATNAAATATTTTTTCCAAAATACGGAAATTCCCGTCATTTTTTGAACACACCTCGTATAGTATATTGGTCAGAAAGCCAGAAGGAAAGAGACCACTATGAAGACCAATATGTTGGTGGGTACATAATATTAAAATGGATTTCAGAGAGATAGGATGGGGGTAGTATGGACTGGATTAATCTGGCTCAGGATGGAGGCCTCTTGTGAACACAATAATGAACTTTCAGGTTCCATAAGGCACTGGGAAGTTCTTGATTAGCTGCATAACTGGTGGCTTCTCAAGAAGGGCTCAGCTCCATGAAGTTATTTGGTTTAGTTAGTTAGTTAGCAGGTTGCTCCAAAATGTTGTTATCTACAATCCTAACAACATGGTGCAAGCACATTTTGCAAGGAAAGGCAAATGTCTGTGAGATGATATGGCAGAAGTTCATGTATATTTTGATACATCTCAATAGCAGTGAAGTGCAAAATCAAGTCATTATGTGATTAATTTACATTATATTCAAAATACTAAAACTGTTACAACAGCCAGACATGGACCGAATGTAAATGTATAACTTCTGCAGATTTCCCTCTAGCAACCTGTCATGGAGTAAAATCATGAACAAAACAAAATCTATGTGAGCCTTGAGGTTCTTATGGTTGTGACTATGAATGTGCTATCTTTTGAGATGTAATATCATGTATGAGTAGTACAGTAAAAGTTTATCAGCATTTCAGAGGAATGACTGCTTGCATGGCTCATTATTTTACCCCGACGATGGGGGCAGTACATTCCTCTGAAATATGAGTGAGCTTCTACCAGTTCCCACAGCATCATATCCCAGAAGACAGTAGTATTCTTCAAGTTAACATTGGGCCATAGCACAGTTCAGGTTCTGGACGTGACAATTATGTTGAGCCCCATACATTCTCAGCAGTTGGTATTGTTACTAACCTGCTGTTGCCATAACAGCCATGATCTCACCACCGTGTACTTCAAATGAAACTCCCTGCAGGAGAATCAGCTGCCTGCTTGACTGGGACTCTACTTCAAGTCCACGAACCTGAAAACCAAATTTTGATTCTTCTAGCCAAATTGTAATCCATACCAAATGTTGTACAATCTGAGGTCCCCACAGCTGTAACTATGAAGAGTATTGTGGCATTTGGACCCACTGCCAAGTAACTGCTATGTAAAAGGGCGACAGTGTAACAGCCATTGCTAGGGAACAGCTCTGCGGACACGGTTTCCCCGGCAACGAAAGTACACACAATAATGGAAGAGAGGTCTTCTGTGTCCCAGTGAGGACCGATGCCAGGAGTGACTGTGCCAGCTGACTGCTCTGCTCTGGTAGCTGAGGCTGGGGCCAGTTCGGTAACCCAGATGAAGGGAAACATCCGTCATTGGAAGCCCCTACCATGTAATGGCTAGTGAAGACTGAGAAGACTTTACATGTGCTGTAGTTAAAATGATCTTTGGAGTGTGTAACTCAGTGAGACTGTCGTAGTTATTTGTAATTAAATTTTGTAAGTGTTCAATAAACCTGATTACCGATCCATATCCCGTCTATATTCATTCTTACCATGTGATAGCATTATCTCCTGGGACATACTGCCATATAATTTCTTACAGTTAAAGTTCTGTCTTCTACTTCTGGATCTCAGCCAGAAGCAAACACTACATCTGACATGTGACGTTCGAGGTTCTGACTGCAGTCAATATGAAGATTACCGTCTTCTGATGTGATGCCATACACTCTGACAGAAAGGCAATTTCTACCAGACTACACAGTGTCATGTTGCAGAATACAGTAATCTTGACTACATACACTAAACACTATATCTTATAAAAGTAAATACGAGGGTAAGTCAATAAGTAAGTTACTAATGGATATAGAACTTAAATAAGAGTACTGATTTCAAAAATGCTTTTATTTCTCAACATAATCTCCCTGTACACTGAGGCACTAGCCCCATCATTTCACAAGCCCCTGAAAACCAGCATCACAAAATTCTTTGGGCTGCTGTTGGAACCAGGTGGTGACTTCCCTTTCTACAGAGCTTCATCACTGGGAAAATGTTCAGCCGAAAGATGATGTTATAGCCACAACCTTGCTCCAAGCGACTTCCATTTGTTCAGCCCTCTTAAACATCATCTTTCGGCTGAACATTTTCTCGATGATGAAGCTGTAGAAAGGGAAGTCACTGCCTGGTTCCGACAGCAGCCCAAAGAATTATATGCTGCTGGTTTTCAGGGGCTTGTGAAATGATAGGACTAGTGCCTCAGTGTACATGGAAATTATGTTGAGAAATAAAAGCATTTTTGAAATCAGTACTCTTATTTGTTTAAGTTCTATATCCATTTGTAACTTACTTATTGACCTACCTACACACATATATATATATATATATGTGAAATATAGGAGGAGCAAACAGATATAAAATCATCACCCAGAATCAAAGTGAAAATTAATTATTTCAGAACTAAACAGATACCAATTTAGTTTACTTTTCATCTTATCATTTTACTTCCTTTCTGGAATACACAGTCACTTCAAGCATTTCAAGGAGTGACATACTACCATACTACATACAAGGCTCCACTGAAAATGGAGACTTCATATAAAAATAATGTGTAAGTATATAGAGGGGCCCATAAGAATGTGAGGGGCTTAAAAATGCATACAGGTCTTAATAGGGGTAATCTATGGACATTTTCAAAGTTGAACTGAAATGTAATGCATGTGTGTGGTGCCATATGTCCTCAGAAGTCGATGCTAGTCATGTGAATTCCAGAGCCAGCTTATGGAATGGCACAACAGTTAAAGAAAATGGCAGTGCAAAGGTGTGTATACATATTTTGGGCCCCTCTTGTATATGATTCTTGTTATATGCAGAGGCTGCATTCCTGAAAACCACCACATATATCAGAAACATGCAGAATGGGAAATACAGTGTGTCCCAAAAGTGAATTAACATAAAACATACTCTCATATCAATGGGAATGTTCAAATTTGAATCTGCCAGTAAATTCATAGAACAGTATCACAGCATTCTGAATTGGGCACTGAACATGGAGGATCTTACTCTGAACAATTTTTATTAATTAAGTTAAGTAATAGGGAAATTTTTAACATGTTTTATTGTAAATTTTACTAACCAGTTAACTGACTTTTGGCCACCATGTATCCTGAAGGAATACTGAGTATGGGGAGTAAATAGGAAACAGGACTTTGTCAAAATGATGGGGGGAGGACAGGAAAATATCACACACAACTCACTGGGTATGCATAGCAGCATCTACTGGGGCTCCAGGTAGGGCAAGATATTCTTCAAAACACTGAAATACAATTGCAGATATGCAAAATCACAGATAACAAAAACATGTACAACTAGTCACCTGTACTGCGTGATTACTTTGTCACCACTCCTTGCTTACCTTTGTATAAAGTTTCTATTAGGATTTTGAAGGCCATATATTTGAAAAAACTGTTATTTACTTAGTAAATTTTGTGCTACATCATGCTGAGAAATGTTTCAGCGTACCTGCAAATGTGGGTATTTGAATGCAGTGTCAATATGCTCTGTGTAATAAGTTTCTCTTGGTACAATGGAAGCCTCTGCAACAGGACCTAGCCGACTGTTGAGTGTCATGGCTGCCACAGCTTCGTCCCTGGGTGAAACAGGTGCTCCACCATGGTGCAGCGTTGAGCTCTGGCGATTATGTGGGAGACTCGCATGGGAACCAGCTTTAGACATTCTACGGCGTGAACCAGCTTGCCTGAAATTATACATACCTGTGTTGTCTGAAGGAATACAGGAAGGGGGGGCGAATGTTTCAGTTCTCAGAAATATATGAGCATGTTCAATGGCTCAATAAATTCCCAGGATTTTTTTGAACCAAAAAGTTCATGTTCATGTTCCCAAGACCCCCCCCCCCCCAATTGCTCCTATCATAATCCAGATCAATTCTATTGGCACCCTCTCATGATACTTCTTTTAAGACCCATTTTAATATTATCCTACCATCTATGCCTTGTTCTTCCAAGCAGTCTTTCTCCTTCAGGATTTCTGACCAAACTGTTGCATCAATCTTTTTGCTAATTCATGCTTCAAGCCCATCCCATCTTCCTTGACTTGATAACAAATTATGAATCTCTTTATTATGCAATTTCTGCCAGCATCCTGCCATTTCTTCCCTTCTAGGTAATAAGTCTACTGTGTTCATTCTTCTTTTTTGGATAAGTATGGTAAAAACTGTCCAGCAGCAAGCAAAGACAAATTGCAGATACTTCGTGGGCTGCAGCTATCTCATGGACTACAGTTTGCAATCCTCTAAATGTGATATATCATGCAGATGACTGAAAGGTTAATATTTAAGTGAAATGACAGATGTACAAGCTTCTGATTATATCTGTAGGCTAATCTAGAGTCAGCTCATTAGGAGTTTAGTTAACATTTTATGCTCAACTGCACTGATATCAAGACTGCACTATCTCCTGGAGCCAGGTTGCCATGACACATGAACTTTTCATAGTTAAGACTCAGATTGTTCTCCTATTACATTTCTACTAACAAGTGGCTCGTCAAAGTAATGGAAAAAAAAATAATTATATATCTTTATTCCTTTCCTTCCTCTCACCCTTACTGCTTCCCATTCCCTTTTATTTGTTGGTCCCATTATCATTCCTCTCATCCTTCCCTCCTTCTCCTTCATGTTAAAACATTTCCCTCACCCCTGCTCTCAAATATCCCTTTCTCTCCTTCCTCACACATTCCTTTCCCATCCCTTTAATTTCTCACCTGAGATATTTTGTTCCTTATTTTGGCTGTCAGTTATTGGATGTCATGCCTAGATTAAAAGAAAATTATTGCAGATGTGTCTAAAAATATATAAAATATTCTCACCCTTCCATTTCAGAATATGGCAGAGCTCGGAGATCGTGAACACTTCTACGGTGCTGCTCCTGTTGGTGTCTGAAATACGCAGCTTCCTGCACAGACAGCAGGTTGGCTTCACTGTTACTTTTGGTCCTTACCCAACCATCCCCTCGTCCAGCACCCACTACCATTGGTGGACCGGCTCTTGGTCCATGCTGTAACAAACAACAGCTACAATATTTCCATAGTTCAAGTCTCAAATATGAGGATGTTGTAGTGTGTTGAGGCGTCACTATGTGACAGCCATGAGATAGGCAAATATACCAGACCAATTTCTAGGCAACAGCTGGGTAAACATGTTCCAACAGCAACGAATTGGTGTGCAACAATAGAGACACCATTGGAAACTGAGTTTTCTACTGTGCCAGTGCCAAGAAGTTATAAGGAAGACTACTGGGAACACCAAGTTCAGACCTGAACACAAGAATGTGAAGAGATGACTTGAGCATGTGAAGCTGAAGAATTTCCACTGTTAGAAGACATTGCCAAGAAAGGTCTAGTAAAGACACTACAGGCTGGAGAAGACTTTGCGTGTAGTGATTTGTAAAGTGTGGAAATCACTGATAGTGTTATAGTTATTTGAAGTTATGACCTGTAAATGTTCAATAAATTCATTCACCAATCCAAACCCTATCTACAGTCACATACTACATGATAATATGTACTTGAAGGCAGCACTTTCCCCTGAAACATTAACATTTGCACACAGAACTGCATAATATCACAAATCAGAAAACCACAATCTAAAAAAAATGAACTTTGTTTTGGGTGCTTCAAGGACAATCACATGAAGCTGAATTACTGTCACAGCATATATCATATTTTCACAGTCTGCAGATATTACGAGACTTGCAAAAACAAAAAGTAGTGAAAGCTGTTCACATTCATCGTGCAGGAATAAGGGATTTTAAATTCCCTAAAGTACAGAATAGGCAGCCAGATTGTGATGGCGCAATGGTGTTAATATTGAACAGGGGCAACATTTGTCCAGCTGGACCATGTGTATATGTCATTCCAATGGTCCAACACATGGCAAATAAAGTTTACAAGTAGACTTTAATACTGTTTTGAAGCATACTGTTGCACTCTTCCATATTATAAATCTTATTTTACAGCTTTATGCGCAACTATTTATTAACTTAAAAGAACGAAACATGCAGCATAAACTCAGTAAGAAAAAGCACGATGCTCTAACTTCAAAACCAATGCGCTCCGAGGGACTTACACATATAATAGCAGCAACATAGAAAGCAGCAGTTACCCCAATAGATATATTCTAACACCTTCTGATGGGCATATTGGTCAAAACATGTTGTAACCTTTAAATTTTAAATTTAAAACTCATAAATTTTAAAATTTTTAGTTAATAAATAGTTGGACATAACACTTTAAAATAAGATTTTTAATATAGTCTTTAAGTCTTAAAAATGTATCTTTAATGAATTTAAAGCCTCATCTAATTGAGCCTCAAGTTATTTAAATTTATTTAAACCATTTGGTACTGATATGTTGAGCCAGCATTTACCAGCCAGAATATGGCATCAGATATATGTATGAAAGCAAGACTGTTTCAGTCTGCTGAAAAGGAAATGAGTTTGGCATCCTGTCCAATTCTCTCTCATGTGGGCATTTAGAAAAGGAACAACATTTTACATAAATCAGTTGCACATTTAGTGATTCAATGCACTAGCACAATTCTTAGATATACTTACCCCTGAATAAGGTCGATGGAGGGGCTGATTTCTAAAATCTGGATCACTGCGTGATCGGAGATAATTACGACCCTGTCTGTGCAGGTATGGAGAACCATCATCACTTGAATCGTACCCACTGGACCCATCTCTGGGTCCTCGTGATGGAGGGAACACTCTTGGCAAGCCAAATTTGAGGTATGTATACATGTTGGCTCCAAGTGCTGACCTGTAAAATAGAGGATATTTATACTGACACTATTTCATAACATTTTCTTGGGATGTTCTGGTGGACTATTACCTGTAAATTTTGCCTAACCTTTTCTTTAGATATGTCATCTAGGCCATAAAGTATAAATAAAGTAAAAGGTAAGGTCGAGTTAGCCTTGGTCTCAGTTAATTAAACACCACTCCATGAAGATGTATGGGGTACTGAAGCTATACCTCCACCATTCTTAACCTTTATGTTAGGTGGTGAGTGGTCAGCTTCATGCCCCTGCTACTTTAACCCCAGAGAAACAGACCAAAATATCTGTCGTAGAGCAAGCTCGATAGGCCCCAGAGCCACTTTGAATGCTATGGAGAAGAGAAAAATGTCTTACCCCTGCAGGGAATTGAACCCCAACTCCCCAGTCATTAAGCCCATAACCATTATACCAAATGAGCAGTAAAGAAGACTGGTATACCAACTGGAACAGCTGAAGTGTCACAATGAGCAACATTTCCATGTTATATGTTTATAAGGCTTTGGGTATTTCAATTTGAATGTAACAACACTAAAAAATATAAAGGATTGTACTTTAATTCCTAACATACATTGAATTTACTATACAGAAATGAAGATTGGGTCATGTGTGAGACTTGCAATAGTATTAAGCATGTTCAATTGTAATCATAATTACTATATAACAGCAACAATTACATCACACAAAATATCCACAATAAACAGGGCTGTTCTTCAGACATCCTTCTTTGTCCTGAACTTTTTCAAACACAACAAAACAACTGAAATTAGGTCTTTCTAATGGGCATAAATCAGTAGGAACCTTTCCTCCCTTACTCCTGGTGATAGGAACAGATCCAGTTTCTGCAACACTGGGTCTGATGAAATTCAAATGACAGACAGCGTCCAAAATAATAATCCTGTTGTTGTAATACATCCCCATCCAAAATATCCAAGTGCTGACAAAACAGTTAAATCTACTGTGAAATATTTGACAATTCCAAATGCCAATCATTTTTTCCTGCACGATAACAGCATTAATGATACTGTTACCTGACACCTGAAAGCCGGACTAGTGGAGCCAGAGTAAATGTTCATTGCTATGCAATGACTCGGTAAACAGGTTCCCACAGCAATGAATAAGCAAGCAACAATCAAGGTACTGTTGGGATAATGATGGAAACAGTGTTTTAGGTGGGTCCGCCCTGAGGCTATATAAGGAGGATCCCAGGCCAGCTGGAATAATTGAGGGAGTCTCTTGAGTCAGCAGTTGAAGATGATCGAGAAGAGTTAGTTGAGGTGTAGAGTGCAGCTGTGAAAGAAGACTTCATGTGTGCTGCAGTTATAGTGAGACTGGTATAATTACTGTATGGAAATCTGTTGCCAGGATACGACTAGTGAAAAGTGAGAAGATTTAGTGTGTCCTAGTGATTTGTAAAGTATTGAGATTAGTGATAGCATTATAATTAATTGCAGTGTTACGCTGTGTTGAGAGGGGGGCGTGTAGGTATCCCTCCACTGCCACCACATATTATGCTGTAAGGGGTTAATACAATAATACTAGATTACCCTCAGCTAGGATTCTCCTGGTTCTGGACCTTCTTCGTTGCATACAGCTGCCACCATCTATTATATCTTAAGAGGGTTGATGAAAATACTAAATACCGGTAGCGCGGTAGTCGAGCGTTCTTTGTTGGCTGGCCCCTCCATAACTGGCACCACTTTGTTATGCCTAAAGGGGGCTAGTGAAATAATACTAAATTACCCTTTCCTTGTTCCATCAAGAACGCAGCCCCTCGTCTACTATTCGTCTCTCACCCTTAACTAGGATTCTCATAACCCTTACTGCTAGTTGCATCCGGCTGCCGTTGGCTGCCTGAGCTCACTTCTGACTTTCGTTTGGACTAGGATCGCTTTGGATTGGTCGTGGACGGGTTGGTTTGGGGACGTAAATCACAATCCCGGTACATCCTACTCTAATTACACTGTTATTTACAATCCTATTTACAGTATGAACAATGCCGACTTTCAGTCGGGACTTCATAGTGTCTTCTCCTTTCTAGGCAATCACTTCATTATAATCTCCCCTTCTGGGGTGTAGGACTTGAGTCTGTGTCTCTCTCTCTCTCTCTCTACTGTTTCGACTCATGAGGATATGCAAGTATTCATCATTCGACATGAACCATTTTCCTCTCTCTCTCTCTCTCTCTACTGCTCATTACACAATTCTACACTATTCTATCATAATACTTCACCCTCAAAATATTCTGCCCCTAAGTTATACATACCAAAAGCCTACATATATTTATCACAAAAATCAGTAGTCACAACTATGAACAACAAATATGCGTGCTCCGCATACTACCAGTAATCATAATACACTATCTAACATTAACCACATTTACTACGCTAGGGACCTTGCCTATTACTTGTTACATCATTTTTTGTATTCTACCCCCAGGAGCTCGCTGGGCACACTGGACATTGCTTTAAACATTTAACAAACAACAATTTACCAACAACCATAAAGTTTAACAGCATGGCTTGCATGAGCAAACATGACTTACTTGAGATAGAGACGCAGCGTCACCACCACTTGTAGGACCCATGTCGAACAGAGCCTCCGGCTAATTGTTACGTTTTTAGATTCCCCCTTTGAAAGTCTTTCTTTCGCTCTTTATACCAAAAAACTGTTCATGCCGCAGGTAACCAAAGAGGGAGGTTAACTCCTCCCTTTGTCCTAAAATTCGAGGCGGCGGATTCTCATTGGTTAACCCCTTTGGTGGTGGGCAAATCCTCAGTGTCTCGTCGCTGTGTATTTGACAATTTCATTTTGCTCCATAGTTTAGTTAGGCGGGCTTGCAGTGGAGCGATTACGCATTTCTGCTGACTTAAACATTCTTGACCTAGATCCCTTGTCCAGGTGTTGCCATCATTGCTCTAATTGCTATAAAACGCTTTCGCAAGTCTCGTAACATTTAGGCAATGTCTTTTGATTTTCAGTCTCGAAATTGCGGCATAACATGCAGTAATGAATAGTATGTATAAATTTCGCTTAGTGGGGGTGGAGTCCAACTGGGTCCACTCGGCATGGCGGCCACTGATTGGCCTATTGTAGCCTGCCCCGGGTGATTATGAAGATTGGCAGGGGAAACCGAAGTACGAGGCTCATCCACAAAGTAAGTTTCCCTGGGACCGTTTACAGAAACAAAACACAATGTCATGGAAATATTTATTGCAACAGATACAGCAAGTGTTCAGCTATTTTTCAACAGAATCGCCACCAGAATTGAGACATCTGTCATACCGTGGGACCAACTTTTGAATACCTGTGTCGTAGAAGTCTGCCGCCTGGGATTGGAACCACTGTGTGACAACCATCTCCGCCTCTCTGTCATTCTCAAAACGCTGGCGCTCACCGGACAGGAATTTCTTGAGGTGTAGGAAAAGATGGAAATCACTGGGAGCGAGGTCCGGGCTGTAGGGTGGCTGATTAAACACCTCCCAGCTGAACTCCTGCAGGAAGACAATACCGGCACTAAGCATCCCGCGCCGCTTGTTCTGAATGGCCCGTCGCAATTTCTGCAGTGTTTCACAGTAACGCTCAGCATTCACCATCTCACCTCTGGTCAGGAAGTCGACGTGGAGAACGCCCCGTCTGTACCAGAATACCGTGCACACCACTTTCCATGCCGACGTCTGCTTGAATTTCATCTTACAGGGAGATCCACTGTGATGCCAATGCATTGACTGCTGCTTGGTTTCTGGGGTAATGTGTGCAATCCACGTTTCATTACCTGTGAAGATCCTGTCCAGAAACTTGTCACCGTCACCATGGTACCGCTGCAGAAATTTCAATGCTGACTCCATGCGCTTTGTTTTGTGTTCTGGTGTCAGTTGCTTCGGCACCCACCTGGCACACAATTTCCTGAACAAGTGCTCCATGACAATTTCGTGCGACAAGGAGCAGGAAATCTGCGGGACATGACTGCTGAGTTCCATAATTGTGACGCGATGATTCTCCATAATGCACTCCCGCACAAGCTCCACCAGGTCATCTGTAATGATGGATGGCCACCCACTGCACTTCTCATCATGCACACTTTGTTGACCTGCTGAAAATTGTCTGCTGCCGCGACACACCATCTGCATGCTCATGACGTTAGGCCCATAGACCCGGCACAGCTGACGATGAATTTCAATCGGCGCTATGCTCTGTGCATTCAAAAACTTTACCACTGACCGCACTTCACAGGCGGCGGGAGCTGGAATAAGAGCCTCCATCTTCAACAGCTGCAACGATGCTACTGTGGGAACGCGGGAAATTCCGTTAGTGCATGCGCCATGCTACGTCATTGCTCTATCACACATGCACAGTCGCTTCACGCAATATAAGGTTTGCTAGCTGCTGGACGTGTGGGAATCTTACTTTGTGGGCGTGCTACGTACTTGGAGAAAACCCGCTCCAGTGCCACTTTGTCCACCACAAATCCCACTTGACCAGACCTAGGATCGAACCCAGGTCGCCGCGGTTTGAAGCCAGCGACTAACTGCTTGAGGTATGGTGCGGCCCCGGTAATAGTGTGTATAAGTGGTCAATAAATCTAATATCCAATCCATACTCTGTCCAACAGTCACAACCCTAACACGTGGCAATACATAATGATTATCATTACACTTTCATAAAATACAAACTGGTCTTTACACTTACTTTGGTCCATATCGAGGATGGCTGAGTATTGACTGAACAGTGGATTCCCTAAGCTGAAAATTCCCATATGGAAGAGGAGACTTCTCACTTGAGCCAAGAGCAGAATCCGTGAAATCAGAGTTCAGATTTTGCCTGCAACCAGACAAAAACATAAATTAAACTCTAACTCACAAAAGTTCTAAGACCTAACTATTCTATAAACTAAAATTTCCATGTTCTCTCATTTCATTTGTTTGTATGATAGCTAAACTTGCCTAGTACGGAACCTGCATGAAATGGATACCTGTCTTTACGAGCATATCCTCTGGTTCTGAAGCAAAAGAGAGAAATTAATGCAAGAATACCGCCATATTCTAAACTACCAGAGACTGTCTAGTGTGGAAAAAGAATGCTAATATAACTACACAGGAATGAAAAGAACTGAGAAGCTACACTACACTTTGTTCTGGGAATTTACCGAAAGAGGCTGAAACACTGGAGATTATTCAGTTTTGCCCTGCAGTTCCTAGAATTTATTACCACCTATTTTTGTTTTATATGATAGAACACTTCCTCACAGTTGGCCTCACGCAAAATTCTTGCTCAATTTGGATATAAAAGTTACACTGATCAGAAAGAGCAAAAACAACTTTATCATGAAAACAATAATCAAAAAGTTCATTTTTGAGAACTCTCAAATTTATCCAACATGAAAAAGAAAATGTTAAACAAAATAAAAATAAATAAAAACAAAATAAAACTGTAAACAGCTGGACACTAGGAACTAATGAAATTGGGTGGAAGAAGTTTGAAAGTATGAGATCAGGGAAGATTTAAATTTTGTGGGGAGAATATTTTTTTATTTAATTAATAGCATAATTACAACCTACTCTCGATAATGTTGAGTAATAAGTAAATTTGCTCTAAGTAGGTGTCTTGAGTAGAGAAGTCATCCACTGATGACACTCTGACAGGCCTGTAGAGGAATGGTGATGATATTAATCTTCGTCATCTGTGGGTTGCAGTAGGTCAGGCGGCAACTGTTTCCTCAATCTTCTTCTTACATTTGGTGGGTTGCTAATTTTTACAACTAGTTTGTTATTGTGTCCAAGAATGCTTTGATGGTAGAGTGCTGCCAATCCATGTATTTCTTCTATGACAAACGGGATTTGCAGATCATTGTGGATAGTAAAGTTGGAGACATACCAAGGTGCTTTAGTAACTGGGCGCAAGAATTTGGATTGAAATTTTTGAATTATTTTTGTATTTTATGGTTTTGTACAGCCCCATAGCTGTATACCATACGTCCATATGGGTTTTATTATACACTTATATAATAGAAATTTGTTAAAGAATATTATAATCACATATAGCATAAAAATTGAATAAAAGTGAGTTTAATTCAAGTGGACAGCTTGAGAAAAAAAGATAACAACAACATTATGAGTTTTGAGGTTATCATGGTGGTGAAGGTTCTTCTGAGGTACAATGTTATATAGTCTGGATGGTGGCTAGCTGGATTTTGCAGAAATATGTATGTTTCAGAGGAGAAAATGGAGACACTGTGCTCCTCCAACATAATGGTACTCACCTACTGCACTAGATGGTGCCTTAACCCAGAAGACCAGAATTTAATAAATATAAATTTGTTCTTACAAACACTTCTAGTGAAGCAGATGAGACTACGTTTCATTGTTCACCTAAGCTCTTACCTCTTATCAAAGTATACGAACCAAATGGCACTGATAATTCTGATGATGCTGGAGTCTTTTTCTCTGTGCTGTACAGCAAATTCTTTTTTCTTATGGTCACAAATTTATGAAAGTGTAAAATATGAAAAAATGGAAAAGAAAACAAAGAACATATGCACCCCTCTAATGAACAGGTAACAAATGTACACTAAAGTTTTATGAATTCCTTAACAAATGCCAGCATCTTGGATGGGTAGATTCTAAAGGGTTCTGATGATGGTGCATAACATACAGAGTTAGTGGGTTTTTGGACTTTTTGCATCGTCCAGTATTCTAGAACATAGAAAACATGACATTTTGTAAACTGGATCTGTTTCCATCCTCAGGTGAGGGGCAAGACACCTATTGGCCCCTTAGAAAAAGTGGGGGAGTGGATGTATAGATCCAGGTTTTCTTGACCTCTGCACTAGTTAGTTCTGGGTGGTGATCTTCACGTTCCGGCCGTTTTACCCCTTAGGAAAGAGCCAGCGGTACACATGGGATATAAGGCTGGGTGAGCCCCAGAACCGATCTGGATGACATGGAAAGGAGAAAAATCTTGTTCCTACTGGGACTCAAACTCCAACTCCTTGGCTGTCCAACCTGTCGCCAGCCACTATACCGACTGAGCAATATTGGCTCACTTGAGAAAATCTGTACTAATGGAAATTAATAATAAAAGTAGATTACTAAGTCATGTAATAAAGAAGCAAAGCTGACCTTGTCCTAAATTAAGTATCATATCGTGAAGACTTATGGGGAGTGGATGTGGAGCTCTGTCATTCTTGACCTCAGTATTACATGGACAGCTTCAAGCCCCTGCCACTTTACCCCTTGGGGAAAAATCCCTTGGTAACCATTGTATAGAAGGCTAGGTGAGCCCCAGAGCAGGTCTGGAAGCTGTGGATGAGAGAACAATTTTGTCCCTGTCAAGAATTGAACCCTTGCATCCCGCAAGTCATGTGATGTGCTATTTGAAATAACAGACTTTTACTATAAGGCTGTATAGCCCTGTCAGTAGGTTACAGGCAATATGGGTGGACTTCATTTTCTGGTAGGTGCATGGGCTGTTTTCTTCTCCATTATTTCTGCACATCCAACATATCTTTCCCGTCAACAAAGTGGCCAGTAATCTCAAACCAGTGTTAATGTTAAGAATGTGTGGAATTTCTATTTCCTCATGCTTGTTCATGTGCATGGCAATTAGGCACAATATTACTTTACTTTTTAATGTTCTATCTAGTCAGCACAGGATGGTCGATGTCCCCTGATTATTCTCTGAGTATGATCATGGACATTAGCAGAAACAATTTCTTGCCTGGCTATTAAAGCAATGCCAGTGTCCCTCAGAACTTCGTGATAGAGTTATATTAAGCTTTAAGAAGAAAATATAGTCTTACTAATCTGCACATTTATGATTATCGTATTACTAATAGCAGTTTCTTGCATGACGAATAATGTCACTGACCTATAGATAGACCATGCATGAAGATCCTCAGACGCTGATGGTCCACCGATTGGATTTACAGGTGGTTGTCCTCTGGCATGATGTGGATCCTGCGGGCTTGCAGTTGAGCCAGGAGCATTGTTTGCAGGAGGAGGGACAGAGTAGCGTCTCTCCATTGTGGTCAACTCCCAGTCAGAATTGCTTTTCTTATGGCCAACATTGGACATCACACCTGAAGCAGCAGAACAATTCTATGCACAATGATGGTTAAAAATGGACAAGCAACGGAGGTTTCAGATGCTTTTAGACCATGTAATTGGTCTACAAGAAGAAGTTTTTGTTACAATTTATGATGCCAGTTGTCCTTTAAATCATTTGATGTAAGGAGGCTGAAGTAAATCGATATATATATATCACTCCCTCATGGAGCAGAACCATTCTTGAGAAGCCGCCAATTGTGCAGCTACTCAAGAAATTCACAGCATTCTATGGAACCCGAAGGTTCATTAGCATGTTTAAAAGAGCCTTCAACTGGTCCATATCATGAGCCAGATCAATCCAATCCATCCCATCCCATCCTCTCTCTCTAAGATTAATTTTAATATTGTCCACCCACCTATGTCTTGGTCTTCATGGTGGTCTCTTTCCTTCTGGCTTTCCCACCAATACTCTTTATGCATTTCTATTCTCCCCCATTCATGCTGCATTTACTGCCCATCTCATCCTCCTTAACTTGATCGTTCTAATTATACTTGGAGAAGAGTACAAGTTATGAAGCTCCTCAATATGCAGTTTTCTCCAGCCTCCCGTCACTTCATCTCTCTTCAGTCCAAATATTCTTCTCATGGTATTTAGGGAATTTATCGAATACATGTTCTATTTCTACGTAGAACCTGTCATTCGTATCATCAGTTTTATCGTCTGTTGGGGCATGAACATTCAGAATTATGATATCACACCAGAGACCTTTTAGTATTAGTATTAGTATTAGTATTAGTATTGGTATTGGTAGTAGTAGTAGTAGTAGTAGTAGTAGTAGTAGTAGTAGTAGTATTTCATGGAGCCGAGCCCTTCTGGAGGAGTCACCAATTCTGCAGCTACTCAAGAATTTCCAAGCATTTTATGGAAACCGAAGATTCATTACCGTGTTCACAAGAGCCCTCCACTGGTCCTTACCCCTATCTCTTTTTGGTCCAAATACTCTCCTCAACACCCTGTTCTCAAACACCCTCAGTTTACGTTCCTCCCTTAATGTCAGAGACCAAGTTTCACATCCATACAGAACCACAGGCAAAATCATAGTTCTGTATATTCTAATTTTTATGTTCTTTTAGAGCAGACAAGAAGACAAAAGGTTCTGGACTGAATGGTAGCAAGCATTACTCAAGTTCAATCTCCTCTTAATTTCCTCCTGAATCAGGTTTCGATCTGTTATCATTGTCCCCAAATATCTGAACTGTGCTACATTTTCAAAACATCTGTTTCCTATCTTCATGTCACGATTTTGCCCTGCAATTTGGTGAAGAGACAGTAACATATTCTTTGTTTTCTCTGTGTTTACTTCTAGATCAACCTTCTTCCTTGCAGCAATTATAGCTTGTCTGTTTTTCTTTATGGTATCTACATAATCACCCAGTAGATTCACATCATCGGCATAGAACAACAGCTGAAGTGTTCCATTTAATTTCAGTCCCACCTGGTTTCCCTGGACCTTCATAATTGCATATTCTAAGGCAAAGTTGAAAAGGAGTGGCGTTAAAGCATCTCCTTGTTTTAGACCATTCTGGATAGGAAATTTATCAGACAAATATTTACCTACACGGACTTTACTATACGTTTTGTTTAAACACTTTTTAATCAACCTAACTAGTTTCATGGGTATCCCAAACTCTATTAGAATATTGTACAATACTTCCCTCCTAACTGAACCATGCGCTTTCCTGTAGTTTATGAATGGCTGTTGTACTGTCTCATCGTACTCGACCTTTCAGTATTATATATGATATCCTATAACTAACGAACTCTACCCACTTAACGACTGATACGATTCTCATGTAGGAAGAAACCTGTACCTAATTCATGATTCTCATTCCCCTTTCCATAGAAAAATGTATACTTGCCTGTTGGTTCAGTGCTACCTCCGTCCCATCTGAAATCCTGAACTCCCGCTAAATCTAACTTATATTATAGTTCTTTCACAACTGTCATGAGAGGACCTGCCCTATACATACGTCTGACATTCCAAGTACTAAATTTCAAATCCATTTTCTTTCGCTTAGGTCGCTTATCCAAAGAATTCTTCCAGGTCCGAGGCTTCTTGTGATCCTTTGTAACAAGCTGGGGGTAGAAGTAGGCTGTCGCATATGGCTGACAACCTAACCTCCATCTGTAAGCCGACTGCCTAGAAATGTGTAAGCCTCGGCGTCTCACAGCCCTATGGTGCTCCACGGCCTGTTATAGGGTTAGCTTTGCTTAACCTTACCGCCATCTGTGATCCGACTATCTAGAAAATGTGGGAGTCTCGATGTCTCACAACCCTATGGGCCTCCATGGTCTGTTACAGGGAGAGCTTTGCTTATATACTGCATAAACTGGTTTATTTTGCGATGCTGACAGCATCTCAGACTGTACCGAAAAGGTATGGCGATAATGAGTGATTGAAAAGATGTGTAAGGAAGCGGTCGTGGCCCAGTCGAGATTCCTCTCCGGAATTTGTTTCGAGGGACTGCGGGAAACCATTAAAATACCTGTGTAACTAGTATTCCGGTCGATATGTGAACCAAGCACCTCCCGAATTCAAGTCTAGAGCCTTCAGTTCGCAGCACTAGTTGTATGTCTTCAACGAGTAAGTATCCAGACCAGTGAGCATGTGATATCGCAAAGAGCGTAAGAAGAAAGCATGTGTTCTCCTTCCACTCTGGCTGTTGCGTGTTTTTACGTCTATGAAAAAAAGAAACCCAAAAAGCGTCATACTTTTATCATTCCGGAACTTGGGAAATGAAGAATTACACAATTAAATGAAGTAACTGTTCACACTGGATTCACACTAGTGTGTGTGTGTGCAATAACTACAATTGTGTTCTTTTGTAGTTATAAGCAATATATCTTTCATGTAACAAAAGAATAATGACTGACAGTTCCATTGACGTCTGAATTTAATCAGTTCATTGAAAATGCTTGTAACAAAACAAAACTTAACAATACGTATTTGTTACGGTTACCCGTTTAAGTCTAAAAATAAAGGCGAACAGGAAGCCAGGGATTCGTTTCACACAGAAGTCTGAAGTTCTGCGCAAGATCAGTCTCATGAGCGAAATTCGCATGGCAATCAACTTCACGGAATGCATGTCACTTTCTTTTAAATTGCCGTATACGGGAATAACTTACTAGGCCGGGACAGTTACTTACTTCATAATACAAATTAATACTGTGAAGCGTGTGCCATTACAAGCGCAAAGAATACTTCGATATCAAGGGAAGTGAAGTTAGCTTGGTGTTCTTCGGCTGGTGACTCAGTCTGTAGCCACCTGATCAAGCTGGTTCCTCGCTCGCGGATTTTTCTACCCTGAAGACGGAGGCAACACGTTCCTCCGAAACGCCGGTTCACACAAGATCTACACGGTATCGCATCCCAGACGACGGCATTCTTGACCTAAACTGTAATTCTACGTGTAGTGTTGTATGGGCGTGAAACTTGGCCTTACATTGAGGGAAGAACGTACTAAGGAGAAAACTTGGACTAAAGAGGAATGACAGAACAGGAGGCTGGGGAAATATTCATAACAAGGTGTTTTACAACTTGTGCTCGTCGTCAGATATAATTACAATGATCAAGTTATGACAGATCAGATTTGCAAGGTATGTAGAATGTAAAGGGTGAAAAGATACGCGCATATGCGTTTGGTAGGAAAACCAGAAGACACCATTAGGAAGACATAGATATAGGTGGAAGGATAATATTAAAATGGATCTTAGAAAAATAGGATGGGGTGGTATGGGCTCAGGTGAGGGACCAGTGGCGGGTTCTTGTGAATACGGTAATGAAACTTCAGGTTCCATAAAATGCTGGGAATTTCGTGAGTACTCGCGTAACTGTTGGTTCCCTCAAAAGGAGCGTGAAAAGAGGTGTTTCACGGATGCCCTATGATCCAAGTTGGAACAAGAGGAATAGAAGTGACAGGGTGGCCCAGTTATACTCCCAGGCAATGGGTTCGCTTTTCGTCGCCTCCCACGACTCGCAGGGCTACCGGTGGAGGTATTCTGACCCGCTCCACGCAGGGAAGTTAGTTAATTACAAATGAATGTCACTATGAAGATTACTGTCTTTTGAGGAGTGACTCTCTCTAGTCTTGTAGATAATTACTGACGTTTCGAAAGCATCAGGTTCCTATCTACTTGCCAGACTACACGACGTATCATGCCGGATGACAATCTTTGCACCCATCGTCAGGAGAACCTTCACATCTGACACGAACTTGGACTAGAATAGGTTTTATGGCTGTATTATTTGAGATTTTCACAGCGATGTTTTTTAAGAGTTCCATCGTCTGGAATATATCGCAGTGTAATCCGTTGAAAGTCAAGCGACGTTTCGGAGGAACATGTCGCTTCCATCTTCAGGGTTGAAGAATAAGCTAAGCAAAAAACCAGCGTGAAAGAATGTGGCAAGCAGAGCTACCATGAACTGGTTTCTGGATTAACTTCTTCAACCAGGGCATGGGGACTAGCTCTATCGACTTAGCCCAAATGAGTAGGCGTTTACCTGAACACTGAATCCAGTCTCCGAAACGTCACCTTTTTGATAAATGACCTAATAGTCGTATTAATATATCATCGTCACAAACTTTAGATCCATTTAGACAGCACGGCGCTATATAAATCTTCAGGTCTTATGATGATTCTTGCTGCAATGGGAAATATTAATCTATTTCGAGAATCTCTAAGCATTTTCACTTCACATACGAATAAAAAGGAGCCGGGGTGGCATAGTCGGTACAGGTGGACGGCGGGGGGGTCGAAGTTCAAGTCCCGGTTGGGTCAAAATTTTCCTCTTCTCCAAGTCGTCCACACCGGTTCTGGGGTTCAACCAACCTCTTATTCACAGGGTACCGGGTAAAGCGGCCGAGGCGTTAAGCTGACCACTCACCTCCAGACAGTACCGAGGTCAAGAAAATGTAGATCTATACAGCCACTTCCCCATACGCCTTCGTGGCGTAGTGCTTCATTAGTTAAGCACAGGGTCAGCTTTACCTTTTATACGAATACACATTTCTGATCTTGCCAACACAGCACATGTGCATACTGCGTGAGTCAGTGCCGTAATCTCGGATGCACCCAGAGCAACTAGACTGCTAGGAATACCGACGGCTAGCTGTGTTCCATGCAGCCAGCAAGAATATTGGATACGGCGAGAGAAAGAATAAAGCTTCATGCTAAAACTTTTTTTTTCAGTCATCCATAATTCTTCTGGCCTTGACTGCAGGGGGTCACTCAACTTCCTCTGTCATCTCTTCGGTCATTCCTAAGTCGTTTTCAGCTCCAGGGCTGTACATCAAATGAGAACTCAGTGAAGGACATTGTGTAATTTACGGTTGCCACGCGATGAAACATAAGAGATGTAGGATTTGAAGTTTTCACAGCGGTGGTTATGAAGAGTCCTGTCATCTGGAATATAATGCCGTGTAATCCGTTGAGAGTTAACCGACGTTTCGGAGGAACATGTCGCTTCCGTATTTAGTTTTAAGGAATAAGCCAAGACGATGAACCACAAAGTTTGGAAGTCGGCAAGAACTGTCTCTATCCCAACACATCATTTGTCTGAAATTTTTCGGAGGTACACAGATTTTCGGACGTTTCGACAGGAGTAAAAAGAAAAACCAGCTGCAGTTCAAACTATCTAACCGATTTCGACCAGATTCGTTATAGGTAACCTACAACAAATAGGATTAATCAGTTTTAATTACCGTCTGATTTGGCCATTTTAATTTCTTTCCCTTTATACACACCCCAAAGAAAGAGGCAGCATTGTACTCCGAAACTTTGGTAACACACAAGGTGCATCAGTCCGAAACACGATAAAAATATTTACTTTCACTTACTTGACAAATATTTGCAATTTGTTCTACTGCTGTGCTTCATCTTTCACCCTTCACCACTGTCAAGAGCGAAGAGAAATTACTGGAATCAATGCTATTTAATACGGAACTGTGGCATAATTTCTTTAGCCGGATGATTTGCTTTTCCTCTAACACATCGAAAGTCTGTCCTTTGTTAAGGTCTGAGGCAGACGAGGTAAGGTAAATTTGTCTCTGTGCTTAATCAATTAAGCACCACACCATGAAAACTTATGGGTGGAGTGGAGGTACAGATCCACTATTCTTGATCTCGGCACTATATGGAGGTGAGTGGTGAGTTTCACTCCCCGGCTGCTTAACCCCCGGAGAAAGAGCCCTCGGTACTCTTTAGATAGGAGGCTGAGCGTGTCAGGAGGCCAAAGCTCACCCTCAGCTGTAGCGCCAGGAGGAAGGAAGGAAGGGTAGGTTTATAAGCCACAATGTGTCTCCCTCGTTGGTTTGAAGTTGGACAACCCTAATGTAGACAGCACAACAGACATCGTGCTTAAACGAGACGCGCCATTTCTAATGCAGTCACAAGCGTGAATTTGGTTTTTCTTTTTGGATTTGAAGTTGTTGAAGAATTATGTCTTCTGGCATTTAAGCAAAGAATGCTATGTGCTTCAGACTGGTTTCTTCCTTCGCCTAGTCTTCGAACTTGAAGCTGGAGGCGATATGATTCTCCGAAACTTCTGTTCACTTTCACCGGCGTTATGTGTCAGAAGGCAGAACTCTTCTTAATGTTTCATCATTCATTTTGTTGTCATATGGCGAACCGTCTAATTCCGCAACTGCATACAGACCTCGTCGGTTTATTCAGGTTCTGACTGAATATCACGGATAAGTGGGAAACGCTCCTGCTTCATATTCAGGAGATAGTGGGTTCAACCTCCAGTCCGAAGACCGTTTTCCCTGAGTTTCTTTTGATTTTTATGTCAGTCCCTCAAGGGAAATGGGAACCGGGATAGCGCAGTCAGTATAGTGACTGGCTACGGGCTGGACGTGAGCCAGGTTAGCGCAGTCAGTGTAGCGACTGGCTGTGGGCTGGATGACCAAGAGTTCGAGTCCATGTAGGGTCAAGAATTTTCTCTTCTCCACGTCGTTCAGACCGGCTCTGGGGCCCACCCAGCCTCCTATCCAATGGGTACCGGGGGCTCTTTCCCCGGGAGTAAAGCGGAGGGGGCGTGAAATTGACCACTCACCTCCAACCAGTTCCTAGGTCAAGAAAATGTTGATCTATATATCACTCCCCCATACGCCTTCATGGTGTAGTGTTTCACTAGTTAAGCACAGGGACAACTCTACATTTACCTTTACCCTCAAGGGATATGCATGGATATCGACTCAATTACGCCACGATCATCCTATCACTGTTATACTGACAAAGTCTTTGATCAAAACATGAAATAAATTATATAGAAGATTAAGAATGCTTTTGCAGCTACTGGTGGTATAAATAAGAAAATTCTGCCAATAGACGCTCCTTAACTAGGTACCATATTGCTCCTGCTTCATATCCACGAGGTCCTGGGTTCAAATATCGGCCCCAATACCGATACCCTTTCAAAGTTTCTCGGGGTTTCACTCAGTTTCTCCAGATAAATGCCGAGGTAAGGTTAAGCTATCCCTGCAACGGTCCGTGGAGGCTCATAGGCTTGTAAGATATCGAGGCTCCCACATTTTCTAGATAATCGGCTCACAGATGGCGGTGAGGTTGTCAGCCTTACGCGCTGGCCGCCATTTACCCACCGGAAGATTCCTGACACTCATTTCTGTTAGAGGCTGATTCGATCCCAGGGCCATAGTGCGGCTGGAAGGATTCGGTCA